GAGAAGACCCTCTGCTTCCGAGGTTTCTGGGCCTGGTTCGTGCTAATACTGCTGATTGCCCTTGGCATATCGCTGTTCATGTGGCTGCTGCGCAAGTGCATCCAGGGACCGGCCTACCGGAAGGCCAATCGCATCGATGGCAAGGTGGTCATCGTCACCGGCTGCAACACGGGCATTGGCAAGGAGACGGTCCTCGAATTGGCAAAGAGAGGTGCCCGCGTCTACATGGCCTGTCGCGATCCCGGACGTTGTGAGGCCGCACGCCTGGATATCATGGATCGCAGTCGCAATCAGCAGCTCTTCAATCGCACCCTCGATCTGGGCTCCCTGCAGTCGGTGAGGAGTTTCGTGGAGCGCTTCAAGGCCGAGGAATCCCGGCTGGATATACTGATCAATAATGCCGGCATAATGGCCTGTCCCAGGACCCTAACAGCCGATGGTTATGAGCAGCAATTCGGTGTCAATCATTTGGGACACTTTTTGCTCACCAATCTGCTGCTGGATCGCTTGAAGCACAGCTCGCCCAGTCGCATTGTGGTGGTCAGTTCGGCGGCCCATCTCTTTGGACGTATCAACCGCGAGGATCTGATGAGCGAGAAGAATTACGGCAAATTCTTTGGCGCGTACAGTCAGTCGAAGCTGGCCAACATCCTGTTCACCCGAAAGCTGAGCACCATCCTCAAGGACACCGGCGTAACGGTAAATTGTTGCCACCCGGGTGTTGTGCGCACGGAGCTCAATCGCCACTTTGCCGGTCCCGGCTGGATGAAGAGCGTCCTGCAGACGGGTTCCCTGTACTTCTTCAAGACCCCCAAGGCTGGTGCCCAGACCTCGCTGAGATTAGCCCTGGATCCGCAGTTGGAGCACTCCACTGGTGGCTACTACTCGGACTGCATGCGCTTTCCCCTGGTTCCGTGGGCCCGGAATATGCAGAACGCCGACTGGTTGTGGCGGGAGAGTGAGAAACTGGTGGGTCTCCCACCACTAGAGCCACCTCCAGCTGGCCAAAACCCCACCCAGAATGGCAATGGCACTCAAAACGGTGCTGCCAGTGGCAATGGTAATGGCAATGGTAGTGCCAATCCCGTTTCACGGGAAATGCAATCCGTCGAAACGGTCGTGGTCAATCGTTCGTAGTCAGAGTCGTAGTCAGAGTCCTTCATTGGAGTGCGCAGACCTTGCTCTTAATTAAATTCCCTATAAATTCCCATAATATGGCGTGCTAGAGTACCCTTGGAAATACCCAGTGCGGAATGAGGTCGGTTGGGGTCTGATTTATAGAGATACCTATGTATATGTATAGTATATAGTGTTTGGGGAACTATGTTCTGCTGCTTACAATATTTTTGACTTTCACATGAGATTATTGATAGGATTCGATTCCTGAATTTGTATAATCCACATTCCATAATATTTACCAATGCTAAAACTGCAGACTTCCCAGGGTATTTGAGTATTCGGTCATCGAAGTTTGCTTTTGCATACTCTTACATGTTTTTTTTTTGTTTCGCTCTCGTTCTGTACATAATTTTAAGGAAAAGAATTAAAATAAAAGTTAAACCTGACATGCAATCCTGTTTGGGACTCTCCTCTTTCTGTTGCTCTCTCTCTCACTTCGTGTTCAGCCCCCCACGGACTACCCCTCGCCAACAAAAAGGAAGAGCAAGAAAGAAACAATAACAATCAGCATAAAGCGAACAATTTACGACAACAAAGCGAAATCAATGGGAACGCCGACTGCGCTGCTGCGTCCTCTGTTGCAGCGGTCGCTGCCACTGCACTTTCGTGTGCGAGCGAATGGAATAGTGGGGTGAGGGGAGGAGGCGTAGGTGGAGGGAGAGAGCGGGAGCGTGAGTAGGTGAGGTGAGTAAGCCAGGTGAGTGAGAGAGCAAGTGAGTCAGACAGTCAGTCAGAGCGACTGACAGTGGGCAAAACGGCGAAATATTAAACAACAGTTTTTGAACCTACGAATAGAATTTCCAACTTACATACATAGATACATAAATATTTATGAAAACTAATCCCCTGCAAAGCAAGTGTTCAATACACTTTCAAACACAGAAACACTATACGAGCAAGTGCACCCACTGTGCACCTGTTCGCTGATCCACATTAGCCATTAGCATTAACGGAAATCACATAAACCCATATAGCGTGCGAGCGAGAGGGGCCGAGGTGCCAGATGCCCGGTGCCAGGTGCCGACTGGGTGCGAGCGAGAGCCCAGCAGTGCAATTAAACCCATGCAGGCCCAAGGGGGTCGTTCTGGTGCGCTGGCAATCGGGGTGAGCCAAAAAAGTGAAAATCACAGAGTCCGTCAATTAGACGCGGCAAATCTAAATGTAACGATCCACATATTTCATGCACTTTTAATGTTCTCGCTCTGGGCAATTACTTACCAACTTTTGAAGTATGTACATACATATAACACCATTTATGGTGTTATGGCTCCAAAGTTGCCTTTAAGTGAGTACTTGCTATGTATATTTGTACTTGTTCTGTTTTGCTGCATTCTTCAACTTCAAAAAATAATAAATAAAATAAATAAATAATCCATAAAAGAATTAAATAAAAAATAATACAAATAAATAATAAATCAAATGAAATGAATATGAATACCGTAGGTACGATTCAATTCGGGGCTTCTGGGGTTAAGTAAATTACACGAAAAATTGCAATGGAAATTTCCACTCGCGAATGACTGTCTTTTCATTGCGTACCACCCCTTCGGCGCCCAGACAAGCACCCCAAAACACCCACAAATCACCCCACACCCCCTTCCCTGTGAACAGCTGTTGCATTCGCTGAAACCTCGGCGCCAAGTGAATTTGATCGATAAGAGGCGCAAAATGAAAGGCGAGAAGAGCGGGGAAAACTTTTGTGAAATGACGAAATAATATATGTAGCTGGAAAATGCTTGAGCAGAAAATTGAGTGCAGTGACTAAAAATTGATATTTAACTGGTGCGGTTGAGGGGTAATAAATCAAAATTGAAACAGGTGTTCTGCCACCAAAATACTATGGCATTTCATTTTAATTTCAGCATTTCCAAATGTCTGGAATTTTCCAGAAATTACTGCTAGCATTTTGCTGCTTTGCATTTAATAGGTGCTCAATCAATATCAGTCAATCATTCAGTCAATCATCGTTGGAAAGCAATTTAAAACTGTTAGTGAACATGAAATGAAATTGAATAACTTATATTGCAGTTTTCTCTTTGACAACTTTACAAAAAGGTAAAAATAAGTTGATTCTATGAAATCGGGTATTCATAGCATTGATAAGCCAAAACTGAGACCTTCTCCAAAGCACGTTTTCGAATTAAATGGGTATTCAACCCAGTGTTCCTCTTAAGACTTGAAATTCAAATCGATATGACGATGGAAGATTAAAGAAACTTATGCTTACGTAAGCACAAGCTTCGCATATATGCTCAATTTTACGATGTCTGCAGACTGTAGAAATTTGTAGATCTGCCAAGTCAAGCAAAAAGAGGATCTTTCCCCCAGAGGTTTTCGCTGTAAGTGCACGATAAGCCTAAACTATAACCTACCACAATTTCCTTATCAGCCGATAAATATACATATATTCCTTTGGCAAATAAACACGTCATACGTGAACGATTTTAAAGCAGCGATTGTTGTTAGTCTACTAACTAAATAAAACCGCAATATTCAACTTTAGATTCCCTATAACTCTAGATAGAAAACAACAATATGAAATATAACCTTCTTTGTAAAGCGTAATTTATTCGGATGCAATTGGTCGTTGGTATTCATTCATCTGGATGAAAACGTGATTGCCACGTTGGGCTCAATCTGTCACAGATTCGCATTTACATTTATATTTATGTATGTATACTTGTTAGCCACTCAAGCGACCAGAAACCGATGATTGGGATAAATAGGGAACTTTGGAATTTTGTGCACTCCACTGACGCAATTGGCTTTGGATATTTAGATAGCAATCTTGGTGCTCATGTGATGGTGCGTCATTGGTCCTTTTCCACTCCATGCAACTATTTTTGTTTACCTTCAATTCCGGTATCTTTAAACGACAAATAGATGATTGTTCTTCAAGATTGGATTTCACAATAATGTAAAATAAGGGTTTCTTCTTCGATTACATATTATTATAATCACTCTTAGTACTCAAAGTTTTAGGGTTTTCTGCTTTTTAAAACCATATGCCATGTAAGATAAATATTTAACTATTCGAGTAAAAATTGCTAGGCAAATAAAATTTAGAGGCCTAACGAAGCAAAAACTTTCCATTCATGGGAATTCGCTGAATGATCTTCAATTGGCGATCGGCTGAGTCAGTTACGAGCTTTTCCGACATCGCCGATCGCTCGTCAATCGGTGATAATTGGTTCAAGGTCGTTTTGGGGGGTGTAAAGAAGCGACACGCCCGCTAATAGAAATGCCGTGAAAAACAAAGCAAACCCTAAGTGCAATTCCACATATAGCAGCTCTAATTTTAGATTCGCTGAGGCGCTGGCAAATTTTTTAGTAATCATTGAGCAGCCGAATGCAGCAATTGCTTGGCGACGTGACAAATGCAGTGTCGAAAATAATCTCGACCATTTCCCTGACATCTTCCTCACGACAGGGCACGTCTTGATGTCTTTAAATTGCTGAATATAGGGGGGAAATGGGGCTAAAGGGTGTTCACCCTGTGGTAGTTTCACTCCCATGTTTAGATACATATATTTGTAATATATCATGGGTGTTAAATGCTTGATGTAGCTTGCATCCATTAAATTGTCTACGTAGGAATACATCCCAAGCAATAAAAAAGTATTTTAACAATAACTAAACTAGAATTAAGCAAAACTAGTTTTTGGGTATTTACCACGTCATTTAGTTTAAAAATACGTTTAACTCAACTTTTAAATGCGCGCCAATCGGCCGGCGTTGCCAGCCTGTCCGAAACTACCGATTACAGTACCGATAGATTATGGCCATCTGAAAATACCAAATGCGAGAAACGCACTAAAAAATCGCTGACGCGGCGGGCCAGACCGCATACAGCTCTACTTCCAGTGTCCACCATCTTGGCCGAAGTTGCCACAAAAGTAGAATCGTGACGGACGGCAAATAATTGCAAAACTCATAGTGTTGACTATTGTGGAAAAAAACCAGAGCGAAAGGCCGCCAAAAAGAAGTTGGCGAGAAAGCAGCCAGGGATTGGATTCCTATTCCAGCTGGCCACCAAGTGCTCGAAATTGATTTCAATTTCGATTCCAGCCGAGCGAAAGAGACAGCGCCTGAGCGGGGTGGAGCAGAGTGGTAGAGGGAGAGGGAGAGGTAGAGGAAGAGGTCAGCGGAGCTGTCAGCCGGGAAAATCATTTTGTCAAAGTAGGAAAATCCAAGCCTTCTGTCAAATCATACGAACTCCAGAGTTTGCCGAATCACCACATACTGCTCCCTTGCTCTCATAACCAACGAAATGAATGCCAAGCGCGTTAAGTACTCCACAGTGAAAGAGGAGATCGTGCCCGTGCTCATCCCGACCGAACCCGAGATGGATCTCGAGGAGGAACCCGAGGAGGAGGAGGAGCCCGAGGAGGAGGAGGAGCACGTCCACGAGCACGAACACGAGGATGACGGCCAGGAGACACAGTATACGTATGCCTACACCACCGGCGAGGACGATGACACCGAAACCGCAGTGGTGACCCTCAGCGATCGGGATCACGAGGCTCTGGCCAATGCCCAGGAGGTGATTATTGATGAGAACGGGCACGCAGTGACTCTGCAGGAGCTGGTCGAGAACAGCACCGTCGAGGAGGTGGAGACCATCGAACAGGGCGATGGCACACACACTATCCTTCACATTGTGCCCAATATGCATGACGAGGAGGTCGAGGAAGACGAAGGGCTCGAGGAGGGCGAGGAGCTAGAACATGACGATGAGATTGTTACTGTTGAACACGAGGAGGCCGAATTGGAGGAAGAAGAAGACGAAGTGGGCTCCATTGTTTTCGAGGGCACCATCGACCAGGCCGAACAAGATCCGCATGCCCGCAACAAGACCTTCTACTGCCCCAACTGCGGCAATTGTTACAGTGCCGCCGGCTCCCTGAAGCTTCACATGCGCGCCTGCCTGCGCCAGAGGAGTGAGGTCTCCGCCGAGAACCGCAAGTGCAAGGTCTGCAGCAAGATCTTCAACTCGGTTGCCTACCTCAAGGAGCACATGATGCGCCACACAGGCGAGCAGCCATTCCGCTGCACCCGCTGCTATCGCAAGTTCGTCGAAGAGAGCAAGTTCGCCGCCCACATGGAGGCGCACAAGCATCAGGACAAGCTTGAGGCCGAGGCGGTGGCCCTGGCCGCCCAGCACGGCGGCAAGAAGGTGGTCGTCAAGGAGTTCCAGTGCGCCTTCTGCTCGCAGAACTTCACCGTCGTCTTTGATGTAGGCCAGGTGAAGCGTCGCTATGCCTGCGACGCCTGCCGCGATAAGTACTCCAATGCGGAGGCTTTGCGCCAGCACAAGCAGCAGGTAGAGGAGAAGCGCGAGTTCAGCTGCGAGCGCTGCGGCCGCAAGTTCGTTTTTGAGGGCTTTCTTCAGCGCCATCTGCCCACCTGCGATGGCAGCATCAAGCGCCGACGCGACATGAAGTAGAGGCGGCCGCAACGTGATTGCCACTGGCGGCGTCGGCAGCAGCTGGAGCCGGCGAGGGAGGAGCAGGAGTCGCTGCCGCCAGTGCGTTACGTTGTTATCAAGCAGGAGTACGTAGATGAGGAGCAGTACGATTAGCAGGAGCACGAGCTAGTTTCCGATAGATCGCCTAACGCAGAACTCAGACTAGCCGCCCGGGCCACTGAAATCATAACGAAATATCCACGAGGTGCAGCTGCTGGCCATCTATCTACACGCAAACACAAAACCACACGCTCCTTCTTTTGTTTTTTTTTTTCTTGTGGCCTCAACGACCACTTTATTCAGCTAATTCCAGAAGAGAGCGTTTATCTTTTACCTAATTGTACACAAACACACACACATTTGTATATGTTATGATTTCAGGCCACCTCTGTGGCTTTCAATTCGAGATAAAGCAGAACCCCAACGATCAGCGGACGTTGGACACGGACGGATGGCGATGATGGCCAATGTATAGATATATATTACTTACTTTTAATTACGACTACTTAATGATAGAGCTCACAATCACCCGCTATTGTGTAATAACCCCAAACCAATATGCTGACACACAAAACAAGCGTCAAATCGATGTTGAATTCAATAAAAAAAAAAAAAAACAAATCGAGAATGTTTTTGTAGTTGTGCAAGACGCTTCCATTGCTATTTTAATAATGTAATCGTAAGCATTTGTAAAGTTCATATTCATTGCGGGGAGCTGTGGATTGAATTTTCCGCAGATTTTCAATTAAATTTATCGCAAACACACCAACTGGGATTCCCCGCTGCTTGGACCACTAAATCCATGATTTTTTGGCCATTTTTGAGCACTGCTCGTGGCCTGTTTTGCAGCTGGACGGCAACGCCCCCGTTCGGAAAACCTCTGGTAACCTCGGTGGTCCAGCGCAGGATTGGATTAAACACACACAATACGTATTTCAGCCAATCTGATCTGACATTATAATTGGTCGATACTTTCTTTTTTGGACGCTTAGGCGGATCTACAAACAAAAAGGAGCGGGCTTAGGCATTAACTAATCCATTAACTAGGCCGATTTAGGACCAGAGCTTCAAGTGGGCACGCTTGGCGTACGACTTCCAGTCGGAGTGGGCGTAGAACTCCTTGAAAATGGGCGTGACCAGAGTGTCCTCGGGCAGGGTCTTGAAAACGGGCTCACCATACCAGGTGCCCACCTCCCAGCCGGGAACGTTCTTCATCAGCTCGGCCTCCTCATCCCGATTGCGTCGCAGCTGGCGCAGGAATTCACGATCCCGCTCAGCCACCAAGATAGGAAAGATGACATTCTGGGCGGATCGCATCTCGATCTCGTCGCGCTTCACCTTCTTGGCGGTCAAGTAGTAGATTCCCAGGCCAACGGTGGTCACAACCACATAGGTGCCGATGGTGGTGAAGCCTGCCGGGGGATTAATACAGTACCAGTACATATATAGCCTGATCAATGGGTTTGATATCGGGTTTGGAGCTCACCTGTGAAGTAGCTCTTTGGTGGCACGCGAGCAAAGGGGATCTTCTTGTAGCCGCCCGGCGGTGGAAGGTCCTGTTTAGGGGGACAATGCGGCACGGCCGTCGCCATGGTGACTACTCCTGTGGGACAATGTCTATATTAGTCGGCTATTTGCCGCGTAAGTTTGGGACTTACGCTCGAATAAAGGGAAAAAATCTGTCGAAATGTCAAAAAAATGACGTTTTTTGCATAACACCAGGACAGTGTGACCTGACTTTGGACAGAGTAAAATACCAAGCAGCTACGAAAGTATACCAAAAAGAGGAGAATACCAGAAGAGCTGCAAACTATGTTTAAAAATATTTTCTAACGTGAATTTAAATGTAAACTAATTTGATTTATTTTATAGAAAGACAACTTTTTTTTTAAGTATTAAGTATTTTTTCGTTATTTAAAATTAACTTCATATACAGTATCCCAAACTGATCCCATCCCTACTTTTATCGCACTCACTTTCCTGTCAAAATCATTTTCTATTCTACATCACTAGCTTCCGCATTTCCAAAAACAATGATTAAAGCGAAATAGAATCTTAGAAATATCTTCTTTATTTTCCACTAAAAAAAAAAATAATGTTCGTCCGCCGTCATGAGAAGGCCTGTTTGAGCCATTATTTCTTCTTGCGACAACGTTATTTGGTGAAATATTCTATGTCGGACTCCAAGCCCATTAGTTTTCCAATGCGTTCCGAACAGGATGAAGATGTGACTGGTAGCCGCAGGAGGGCAGCCACAATCGCCGACTCCGGAATCCGTGAACAAGCCGGATATGCAGAATACCCCCAAGTGAGTTTTCCTCTGATTTATCTCTTTATCAAAAAATGATTTTCGAAAAATAGTAATAGGGGTCGTTTGCTTGCTTTAAAAACTGAACAAAACAGTAAATATTATGGATTCGCGAAAATTTTTGGCGAAAGTAGCTTATAAAAGCTTAATAAAACTATCATTATTTTCCCTAAATTTGTTGCAATTTCGCGCAAAATAAAACAGTATTTTGGCCACAACAACTACAGTATTTATAATCTATAGCAAACAGACAATGTTAGAGAGCAGTTTAAAATGCGAGGAATGTGGGGGTGTCGACTTGAATAAATACTAGACTTCTATGAAATAGGAATGGAAAACTAGTCTGGGCCTGAGTAAATGTCAATTTATATACTTTTTATTAGCCACAAAATGCATCCGAAGCAGATAACATCTATTTAAATTAAATTTGCGGCGTGGGCGTTTGGGTTTCAAGTGCCACAGCAGCCAGCCCACCTTTAGTGTGACCTTGCCTGCGAGAGCGAAAAACACCGTTGCGTGGGAATTAGCGGGTGTTCTTTTCACTCGTGCCGCCCCTTCCCGTAGAAAATGCGATTGGCGCCATTCAGTTGCCGCGCAGCTGCTAGACGAGAGACCCACGAAAAGAACACTTCACTTCCAGAAAAAGGAAAGCAAATTTTTTTCTGTGTGTGTGTGTTTTTCAGTGCGAGAGGGATTTTCTAGCCGAGGCGAAAGTGTTTTTCTTCTACTCGCAGCCGTACGTAATCGCATTGCCATGTCGATCTATCGCATTTCCGCACGCAAATTGTCCGAGGCACAGGTGAGTTCTTTATTTTTTCGAATTAGCCCTTGCTTTTCGTCCAGTGTATTGAATTCCCATGCTTTCCTGGGATCTCTATACATCTCCTTCCAGTTAGCTAACCGTAAAGTGTGTCGCTTCTGTTGTTAACACCTTCTTCTTCTCCCTTTCCCTCTTCCCCCCTCTTCTTCTTCATCCTGTCCTACTCCTCCTTTGCCACCTCTTCTTCTTCCACGCACGTCACGCTGGAATTGAAAAAAAAAAAGAATTTCCAGACATGTGCTTGCGATTAAGAAACTTTATTCGCTTCATTGTTGTTGGCGAATGATAAGTGCTAACGTGTGTGCATGTACGTACATACAATGTATGTGTGTGGGTGTATGTCTTTTCTAATACATTACATAATCGCCAAATGAAATTCGCCCATTTCTTTTTTTTTTGGCAACATCGGAATGCCTATAAATAAAAGTCTCTATATTCTTTGTGGGTTTAACGAACTTTGCCTTTTTTTGGCTGTTCGCATTTGATTTTTTTTATTTGTTTTTGGTAAATTTCCACAAGTCCGGCTTGATTTTTTTGGCTTTATTCTTGTAAATTTACAACAACAAAAACAAATGCCACGCGCAGAGCGAAATTAACAAAAAAACAAAAAAGAGAGTAAGGCAGAGAGAGATGGTGAGCGGGAGAGAGCGGAGAAAAAAATAAAGAATTTTATTTTCCCCTCTCTTTTGTGCCCGTTTCGTTTCCCATGCGTGTCACGTTATTCTCGATGTTGTTGTTGTTGCTAAAAGCGAAAGAAGGAAGACACCATCTCTGTCTTGCAAATAAGAAGTGTCCGCCGAATGACCTTAAAGCAAAAGGAGGAGCAGCAGCACGCCCACTTAGCACCCGCCGCCCACCGGCAATGCAGATTTGCATGTGTGCGGATTGCGTAATGTTAAGAACAAGTAAACTGCCGAAAAGAATACTACTTGCGATTTGATAATTGGAAAATCAATAGCACACACACGCGCACACAGCAGGCGCACGCCCACATACACACGAAAAAAGGGCTTGCAGGACGAGCCTCCTTTTGGTTTTTTTCGGGGGTGTTTTGCTTTCTCTTAGACTTGCGTTGGGTAATAAATACACTGGGAAAAAAATTAAGGTCACTTCGTAAACTTTTATTGCAAAGAGTATTTTAGGATTGAACTTTAATAATAATAGTATTATAATAATATAGTATGCATATATGACTATAAAACTAATAAAATTTTTAGTCAAAATATAAAAACAAGACATCCAGTAGTTGTGAACAAGTGAAATAGTTGACTGTTATGTAGAATGTGATTATGATTATTATTATAATAAATATACGCAGCAGATTTAGTTCTCGCCGTGTAGATTCGCCAAATGTTATGCACACTCTCCATTTATTCTTCCTGTTCTGCCAACGCTGGCAGAGTGCCAAAAAAAAAAGAAAAAAATTTGTTGCTGACGCGTTTAATATAATTTTATTTTTCTTTTTTCTGCTATTTAGCTTTAGCTTATTTTGTCTATAAATAAATCCTGTAAATGTTAAACAAGGAATGGCGTAATTTGTTTGTTTTCAATTTCAACCAATAATGTATATGTAATACATATGATTTTTATGCAGCGAATTGGCCAATAACCCACTTTATTTTGCCAAGTGTTTTAGTCAAAGCAAAAAATGTTGGTTTTATTTGCGTTTGACGTAGTTTGACGAAATGGCAACACGCGAACTTTTTTATCGCCTCTCCGCTAATACGTCACAAATCGTGACAATTCTTACGTAATGCCCACGACCCTTTTTCCTTTTGTTTTTCCAAAACAAACCAACGGGCAGAGAGTGCGAAAGAGAGGGCGTAAGAGAGAGAGAGAGGGAGAGTGGAAGAAGTAAACAGATGATCAAGCGATTGCATAAGAGCAAATGCATAATGTATATTCCACAATTTGTACATTAGGTTTCACGACCGGCGCGCATTTTCGATTAGGGAATCTAAATCGGGATTTTATGACCAGTGGTCAAAGCTCAAGTGGACCTTTTTCCACCTGAATTATACTGCCAATCCATGATTCCAGTTATGCGCGTGATAACGCCGCATTTTAAATCGGCGTAACGGAAAGGGTCCCAAGAATAGAGATAATGGATCCATGAATCGTGCTCCAATTTATCACATCGATATTTCTTCCCAAATATTTGGCCAAACTACATATAACCATCGTTGAAATCAGACGAAACCCCCCCGCCTTTCCATTGGAATAATAAATTATTAATGAAATTAATTTCTGCTATCAACTTAGGATTTCTCCCACCAATAAAATCTTTATGGTCCCTATTTACAAATTATGTGGCATAAACTTCATGCGGTCTCTTTTTTTTAAACTAATCCACATAATCAACGTGTCAGCACATTACAATTATATGTTTAATCGCACGATTATGTAACTCAGTAAAAATGTCACCTTGTTGGGAGAATTCATTGTCAGACCATACTAAGTGCATTATATATATATATTTATATATGTACACATATCTTCCTGTATAATTTGCAACTAATATTAAGTAAATTGGCTAAATCAGCATTGCGTGCAGCAGTTGATAGCAAGCCATTTGCCTTGTAGCTTTTCAATGCAATGCCCCGCCCAGTCTATCCATATCTTCTCCTAGCATGTAGTATATGGCATAAGCCCCCTTTATAACACCCCCTCTTATTTGGAGCGGACTGATAAGCGTGACAAATTTGCTGCTGGAGCACATGATCGGTAGACGTCGCCATATCGCTGATAAAGCGGACACGCAAAGCCCCCCAACCAACTGGAAATGCGAATGCGAATGAGGTGTTAACTCAATCAGTTTTTATATTTTGGTCATGATAAAAAGACGGCCAAATATTTGTATACCTACTGCTCTTTGGGCCATTTCGCAATGCGCAAATTGCTTAGTTTGTAGATACAAGATACAAATGTATTATAGATACAACATTCAAGTGTATTGTAGATACAAGATACAAATGTATTGTAGATACAAGTAAGAAATGTATTATAGATACAAATGTATCCGTATGATTGATGGCCTAAAAGTTCCAACAGGGCCACACATAGAGAAAAATGTTATATTTTAAATACTAACTAATTACCCAGCATTCTGTTTTCAAAACTTGTTTCCATCTCCCGGACATCGTGCCATTACAGAAAAACCCTAAAAGTTCTTAAAAACTTTGGAACCGGAATCTTGCCAAAGTAATATGCAAACTCAAATCTGCTTACGACGAATACCACCCCGTATTTCCCCGCAAAAGCCCCTCCCCCATTATGATCTTCGCTTAGTCAGACTGTGTATTTCACAGCATTTAAATGACTGAGGGGAAAAATCCGACCCGGCAACAATAGACACAGGCGTCTGAAGTTTGTTCAACTGATCCATTCCAATGCAAAACGATTCTCCAGTTGACACGAGCTTGAATTTAGTTGAATGACGGGATTACGTCACGCGGTACTTTCAGTGCGATGCGATTGTGTGATGATGTCCGTTTACTTTCGGCGGGAGACACAATAAAAAGCACTGCTACTATCGTAGAGAATGGCAAACACTAAAGCACCGAACTTAATTAAGACGATTAACTCGGACTGCAATTATTAGACAACTGACAAGCGGTCGCTCTCTAATAGCAGATAT